AGCGCAAGTGGCAGCGCACGAAGGCCGAGACTGGTGGCGAGGCCTCGCTCGAGCACCTGAGCCGAGGCGCGGCCGTGGCGAAGCTCACAGGCAGGCCGCCGAGGGCGAAGACGAGCCTCTCCCAGAAGTTCAAGGCCAATCCGCAAGCGGAGAAGGTCGCCAAGAAACAAACGAAGGCCAAGCAGAAAACGGGCCTCGAGGCTTGCGAGGACCCCCCCCCCACTGGCACGGCAAGGTGGCCCGCGTCGCCGAGGAGGGAGTCCACGAGGGCAGGCGCGGCAGAGTGCTGGACGTCTGGCGAGTCCTGGGCAAGGCGCGCGCCGCCTGCGCGTCCACGAGGTGGAGACCGCGGTGATCTTCCAGATCGGGGGCAGCGAGGCTCGGAGGCTCACGGGCACTCGCCAGCTTCCGCCTGCTTCCGGCTGAGGCGGCGGACCCAAGCGGGGGCTAGCGGAAACGGCGGAAGCGACGGCGGAAGCGGCGGAAGTTGGCGGAAAGCTGGCGGCGGAAGCGACGGCGGCACCTTGAAGCCACGAAGCGGAAGCAGGCGGAAGTAACGGGTGCACGTCAGTCCCGAGGGCCACAGGTCACGATCGAGCAGGATTAAAGCTTCCTAAGCCGCACGAGCTCGACTGGCGCCAGACCAGACTGGCTCGCGCACCGAGCTCGCCAAGCAGCAGACCAGACTGGCATCGCACCGAGTGAGCGATCATGAACTGCGAGCAGATCGTCAAAGTCGACGCCCTCGAGCTGGGCACTGCGCGCGCGCTGCTGGGCGAGATCGAGGAGCGCGTGGGCGTCCCCGAAACCGTTTTGGCGGTCGAGCCCACGGTGGCCGTCGCCTGGGCTCGAGAGGGCCAAAGCGAGGAGGAACCCGCCGCCCAGCGGCCCGAGGAGCAGAAACGCTGGGCCGAAAGAGTCGACAAGCCCGAACACGTCCTGATCTGCGTGCACTCCGAAGCGCCCCAGCAGTACACCTATCTCAAGGTCGGTGGTTGCTACAGTTGTCCCTGCCCCAAGGTGCCTCCAGTTGTTTGTTCCGTTTTGAAGCGGGTGCTGGAGGCACCCTGGGCAGGGGGCACTTGTGATAACGCCCGCCAACGTCTCGAAGATCGGCGGGGTCGTCGCGGTGGAGTACCGCGACGCCCTCAAGCAGCCGTCCGAGAACGCCAAGCAGGCCTAAAGGGCCACATACGAACTCACACCTAGACCCCACGATTTCTGAGGGGGAGGTAGGGTTCACTTTGCTTGGGAGCTGCCGAACGAAGTGAAGCCCACCCTCCTCCGTAGAAATCGTGGGTCGGGTTCGCATGTGTCCTCCCAAGGCCGCCACGAGGATCCTCCGCAAGCTCGGCTCCATTGGCCCTGGCGAAGCCTGCCCTGCGAGGAGCAACGTGTTCCAGGCCGACGCCTGGTCCTGCGGCCTGTGGACGAGTCGCTGGATCGAGCGCGCCCTGCGCGAGATCCGAAGCGAGGGCCGCCAAGCGCCCGTGAGCATCAGCACGATGTGCGCCCGAGGCAACAAGTGGATCAACAAACTCAACGAGGCCAGCGACAACGATTCGGCCAAGGTCAAGGCCAAGAGCAAGGCCAAATCCAAGCCCTTCAAGGACCCCACGGCGGTCGAGCCGAAGCACGCCACCGTCGAGGAGGCAAGCGCTGCCGCCCAGGCCTGCACCAAGTGCTTCCCGTGCAAGGACGGCTCCAAAGGATGCCGACCCTGCACGGGCGAGTGGTGTGAGGACGTGCGCAAGAGAGGTTTCTTGGCCAGGAACGCCAAGGATCTCTCCTGCGCAGGCAAGTTGTGGTCACGAGCCTCGACATCTCTCGAATCAGTCTTGTGCCAAGATCTACAAGGTCATCATCGTCATCGTCATCGTCATCGTCATCATCATCACGATCGTCAGCATCATCATCATCATCATCATCCTCATCATCATCACCATCATCACCATCATCATCATCAACAGCATCATCAGAACATCACATTCGCCAGGAAAATCGTTGATTATCCCCGCCGTACCCCCGAGCTTTATTATCCCCAGGGGATTATTGTCTGGGGCACAGGGTTACTCGACGCGGGACCCAATCTTCTCAGGACTCAGGGCCAGAGGCCTCCCAGATGGGATCAGAAGGATGCAGCCGATGCATCGGCGACGTCGGCGCGGAGAGAACACGATCCTCCGATCCCAGACTCGGACCACACCTGGAAATACAGAATGGGGAAACCAAGAGGCACCAATACCGCTACTCTCCGGACCTCGCCCGGGGTGCGTTTTGACCCAAACATCGAAGCGAATGCAGCCGTGGCGACGAAGGCCTCCCAGGAGGCCCAGCAATGGCGAAAACGAGGCCAGGGCAGCGGCATGGGCGGGTACCTGTTCCTCCTTTCACTGATAGCAGGGCCCGTTTGCTCCATGGCGGCCAGGTGCATTATTGCGGCCACCGCCCGCGGGCGGAGGAAAGCAGGATTGCAGAGCGCGGGGCGGCGGGGCGTGTCCTGGCAGCGCGCCCGCAGGCGCTCCAGCTGCCTCTCGAGCCTCCCGCGGGTTCCCCAAAGGGCCGCTCGCCCTTACCCCCCCCACCCGCTCGATCCGATGATCCTCAGAACGTTTGTTAGCGCCAATGCGTGCTTGTCCACTGGAGCCCTCTATTGCGGCGCAGGAAGCGTGGTTGGTAAAGGCCGAAACGGGTTGCGTGCTATCAGCGGAGCAGAAAGGAGGGTAAACATACACACGCGCACATACACACACACACACGCGCACACAAACAGACACAGACACGGACACAGACGCAGACACAGACACAGACAAAGGGACGCAAACACAAACACAGACAAACACAGGCACCGGCACAGACACACACACACACAAACGCAAGCACGCACGCACGCACACACACATTCACACACAACACGCACATTCATTCACACATTCACTCAATCACACATTCACACACACACGCGCACACACGCACACACACACACACACGCACCGCACGCACTTGCCGTAAGCCTGCGGGCGCCAGGCGGTGCCAGACGGCCAGGCGCCGGTCAAAACGAGCGGTGGGCTGCACCAGAAACGGAATCAAGCACGAAGCCTGCGGGGTGCTGTCGGGTGTGCGCAAACATGGATTAAACGATCCATGGATTTGGCGCGCGGTCACCACATCCATGGATGGGGGGAGGTGCCCTCCCGTATGTGCGGCCGGTGCCACCTCGCTCGGCGGCAGAAATCCGCGATTTCCTATGGAAACGGAACCCGTCGCTAATCCACGCCCTCCTTGATCCATGTTTGCGATCGCCTGACTCCCAGGGAACTTCCCCTTCTCCGAAGCCAGGCCCGCGGGCCTCTGAGAACTCCCACCGCCTTTGGAAAAAGCCTGCCCCCTCTCGCTCACCCCCTCGGTGCGCCGCCGACAGGAGGCCGAGGGGGCCAGAGACGACCGGCACGAGAGCCAAGGCGACGCAGAGCGGCGGCGCGAGAGGGACGTAAGCAGCTGCACCACCCGCTCACGGCGAGGCCGCCATATCTGAGCATCCTTTATCCGACCCCCATCCTCAGCGGCGTTGCCTGGGCCCCACTGGCCGATTTACCCCCCTAAATGGGGATATAGGCCGTTCCCTTCGGATATCGAGGGGTGTATCCCCAAATGGGAGGGTAATTTGGTGGGGGTCTCGAAGGGGATGGGGATGGGGATGGGGATCGGTTAAACGATACTGGCGCCAGGACATTCGGAGACGAATTGGCCTCCAGGGCGCCGAGCTCGGGTGTCGCCTGCGCAGGCGTAGGATTCGTGAGAGCGGCGGCCTCCACAGCGGGATGGCTCGAGGTCACCAGCGCCGTCTCGTTGGCACCAATGGCCGTGTGCGCCTGGGCCGCCTCGGAAATCTCGGAGTCTGCCCTGTTGCGCTGAGGCGCAGCGGCGCTTGGAGGGACACGGCCATCGTGCTACCAGAAGGAACGCTGAACAAGGAACCGGGGGGGATTTTTCTGGCCGCGGCGAACCTCGGCCACGAATAAGGCAACCGACCCAGATCTGCGGGGATACCCAAAAAGGCACTTCTAGCGACGAGGGCCTCCCGGGAGGCACACACAGGGACTCCTACCGACGAGGTACTCCGACCGACGAGGCACTCCTACTACCGACGAGGTGCTTCTGCCGACGAGGGAAGGGTGGCGGCATCGATACCTTGGCCTCCTCTGAGTCTGAGAAACGGCACGAGAACCAGAGCCCCATCCTGAGCACAGAGCGGTCCTTTTTTCAACGTCGTTTGGCAGCGCGCACGAGGGGGTGGAGGGAGGAGGGAGGGCTCCTTAGAAGGAGCCTGCTTGTTAGAAGGGACCAGCCTCACACCCACAGACAAGGCCCGCGCCTTCTAAGGAGCAGGGGTGCTTCTGAGAAGCCCTCCCCCCCTCCCCCCCCGCCCCCCCTCCTGCGCGTGGCTGAGTCTTGACCGCAGGCCCCGCGCGGGGGCGCCGAGCGCAGCCCGCGGGCCTCCCCGCCCTGGGCGGGCGCCGCGGGGCGGCGGGGGCGGCCTCTGGCGCTCCCGGGCGCGCTCGTCGCGCGCGGCGCGCAGCTGCTCGCGGAGGCGGAGCTCCGCATGGCGGCTCTCCTGCCCGGTGGCGGGGGTAGCACTGTTTTCACAACGGGCGTCTTTGAAGGGGCACAGGGACACACAAATAAATACACGTAACTCCCAAGGTTCCCCATGTTTTTTCTCCACATTTTCTGGAGTGTAGTCTTCCCCCCTCCACTTCGCATATGTTCATGCATTTTCCTGGGAGTCGCCGGTTGATTGTATCTATGTTTCTTCCCCTCCCGAGTTGTCGAACAGTTTCGCGCCCTGGGGCCCCACATATAGATCCAACTCGAATTTTGTTTTCCGATGTTGCAAGCTTTGGCTGTGTCAGATCTGAGGGGAGGGGGTGCTGTTGTCAAAGTGCGGCGCTCGCCGCAACTCAAGGATGGAGGGGGCGTGGCTCCAAAGTGCCGCGAACGGTCTGCTGAGGCTTCAGGGATGGATGGCATGCGCGTTTCAAGACGGGCGCGCCGCGCACATTCGTCCCAAATATCTGCAGCAGCTTTCAAGATGGAGGGGGGTGGTGGTAGCCAAAATGCGGCTGTGTCTTTCATGCCACGCACACTCGTCTGAATTGTTTGCGACAGCTTCACAGATGGATGGCAGCCGTTCGCCCCAAGGATCTGCATCAACTTCAAGGAAGGAAGACGGGGATGGTTGTCAAAATGCGTTCCTCGCCCCAGCGCCGCGCACATTCGTTTTAAATGTTCATGGACTGTGCAGGACGGCTCCCTCTCAACATTGCGGTTTCGCAACACACTGCTTCACACTTACATACCACACACCTGGACACACGTAGCAGCTGAACGGCTGGAGGGCGGATCCGTCTCAGCGTTGGGGTCTCGTTTGGGACTTCCCTGGAATCCACGGTCAGGCCTGTCAACTTATGCAACACTTGCAAAAATGGGGACGGTCGGTTTGTCGGTTTTTATTACGGGGACCTCGCTGGACGCAACGTTGAGGCGCATGGTCCAGCATGTTCGCATTCTTTGCTTCCCGCGCTAGGGGGGGGTGCAAGGCAATTCCTTTTCAAACTGGCGCCCTCGCCAGAATGGCTGGCCCATGAGGTCCTGGTCTGTAAAGGGGGCGCCCCATTTAGCGAGAGGAAGGGTTGCAGGAAATTCTGGAGAGCAGGCGCGCGAGTGCATTGCTGCATCGCTGGTGCATATTGGGTTCACGCTGGTCTTCTCTCCCCCTGGCCTCCCAACCTGACCTCCTCTCTCGTCCCCGCGGATCCTCCTCCCCCTCCTCCTGTCCCTCCTCCTCCCTCCCTCCCTCCCTCCCTCCCCCCTCCTCCCTCCTCCAGCATCATCCTCATCCTGCTCGGCGGCCGGGCCCTCGATCTACTGGCTCAGAGCCGGCCTCCTCGCCACCTCCTCCAAACAGGGGCGATGGAGGGGGAGATAAAGCGAACGAAGGGGAGGAGGAAGGATAGGAAGCAACTTCAGCTGATGACGATCAGGAGGAGGAGGAGGAGGAGTAGGAGGAGGAGGAGGAGGAGGAGGAGGAGGAGGAGGAGGGAGGAGAAAGGAAGAAAAAGCAGGAAGCACAGGAAGAGGGAGGAACACCTCTATGCCAGCGGTGAATAGGCATGCGTCACCCAAGAGAACGAGGACGGCACCCAAGCTACGTTGGGTGAGGCCGCGGCCGCATGCCTCCAGCTGCCACGCCAGCCCGTCGCGTCAACCGACGCAGGCGGCTGACGCGCCAGGGCGCAGGCCGAAGCACATGGGCACCAAACCCCTCATCAAACGTGGTGGGTGGGAAAAACTGAGCGCGAGCGCGGTCGCGTCCGACGCGCACTAGCGAGCGGACGCGCAGCGCAACGCCCCCAGGGGTGCTGGTCCAAAGCGGCGCACTGGCCGGCAGAAGACCACGCCCTGGCCAGCCGCCCCACCTTTGAGTGCACACTAGGCAGGTAGGGCGCTGCGTGCATGGCCAGGTACTTGATATCCCGCCCCGCGGCCAAGCGGCACAGAGGATACCTTTTCGACCGTGATGTTAGAGGAAGAGGAGAGGAACACATCGACGCACGACCGCGCGGCACGCCAACATGCCCGCGCGGGGGCATGGCCCGCCAGCGTTGCGGCGGCGCGCGGCGGGTGGACATGCGGGCGCCCGCCATCGCGCGGGGCGCCGACGGCGGGGCACTCACGCCTGCGGCGTCGACTTATGACTTGCAATAACAAGATACTACTGCCCAGTAAGGAGGATGACGAAGGAAGAGGAGGAGGAGGAGGAGGAAGACCAGCTGAGGAAATACGCAGCACCCCGCAACTGCGGATAAGAAAGAGGGATTGCGCGAAGGGTGGGTCGCAGGGTGGGTCGCGGGTGGGTCGTGGGGTTGGTCGCGGAATGGGTCGCGGAATGGGTCGCGGGGTGGGTCGCGGGGTTGGTCGCGGGTGGGTCGCGGATGGGCCACGGGCGAGGACGACGACAGCAGCAGCAGCAGCAGCAGCAGCAACAACAACAACAAGTACTCACTGCGTGGAGCTCCCCGTAAGTGCATAAATTCGCATGGACCTGTCCGCCGTGAGTGTCTAGGCGCAAGAGTTTTTGAATATAAGCGGGCTTGAGTTGTGTTGGTCTGGTCATGGATCTAACTGCGAATGGATTGGATTGCAAATGAGTCTCAGTAGTACGAGCGCGGCTCTGCGCATGAGCCTGGGGCCTCCTGGGGTTTTCTGGAACCTCCTGGGGCTTTCTGGGGCCTGCAGGAGTCTCTTGGGGCCTCCTGGGGCCTCTTGGGGCGTCGAGTGGACTCCTGAGGCCTCCTGGAGCCTAGCGTGGCCTCCTGTGGTCTCCTGGTGCCTTCTGGGACCTCCTAGGGAGGATTCGTGCCCCAGGAGAGGCCCAATCTATAGGAACAGGCGTACGTCAAACATTGCGGATTGGAGCCACAGGAGAAGGGCAATCAATCTGAACACACGTAAAACACCAAGGACGCGCGCCCCATGGGAGGCCAATCTATAGTAACAGACGCAAAACATTTAGGATTGCATACACAAGAGAAAAACAATATATAGAAACATCCGTACAACATCAAGGATTCGTGCTCCAGTTGAGGCTCAATCTTCAGGAGCATACGTAAACCACATGGGATTGGAGCCACTCATGTTGCCTTCTGAGGCCTCCTGCTCCTGGGGCCTCTCGGAGCCTCCTGTTGCTTCCTGACGCCTCCTGGAGCTTCCTGGGGCATCCTGCAGCCTCTTGGGACATCCTGTGGCCTATTGAGTCTTCCTGTGGCCTCCTCATGCCTCCTGGGACCTCCTGTGGCCTCCTGGGGCCTCCTGGAGCCTGCTGGAGTCTCCTGTGGCATCCCGTGGAGAACATGTGCCCACGAGTCTGGCCACCAAAACAAGCAAACCGATCGAGACATCCTCAAAATCTGCCCGCCCTGGGGGGGGCGAGAATGAGCGCCTCGCCCGAGACATCCTCCAAATCTGCCCCGGAAACGAAGGATGTTGGGCATGCAAACAGGCAAACCGCTCGAGAGATCCTCGCCATTTTGGCGCGATCGAAGGCCGTGCAACACCCCCCGGCGCCCCCCTTAGGAGGCGCCTCGCACGAGACATCCTCCAAATCTGCCCCGGAGACGAAGGATGTTGAGCATGCAAACAGGCAAACCGCTCGAGACATCCCCGTCATGTTGGCGCGAACGGGGGCCGTGCAACACCCCCTGGCGCCCCTCATTAGGAGTGCCAGCAAACCGCTCGAGATATCCTCATCGTCATCATGAGCAGCATCATCACCATCATAATCATAAGCATAAGCATAATCATAATCATCATCATCATCATCATCATCATCATCATCATCATCATCATCATCATCATCATCATCATCATCATCATCATCAGCATCATCATACTCATCCATCATTCACCATCATACTCACATCATACTCTCGTCTAGAGCAGAGAGGGAGGAAGGGAAGTGTAGAGGTCCGGCGCGGTCAGAGTAATAACAATGATCCCAATCTTAGGATATAGGGAACAAGCAGAATCCGCGCCGCGGAATCCAACTTCAGCCAAATCCAGGGACGGTGTGAGACCGCTCGGCCCCCGCACTCTGATGTCTATCGTGTGTTTAAGCATAGCTTTTATCATACAGCGCGAAACGTCAAAGATCCATTAGATGCAGGGATGGATGGTTTCTTTTGGAAGCATTGCGAGATCGCTTGCGGCTCTCTCAGTGACTCGTCCAAGCCATTCTGGCACTGAAAGGTCCTTCTGCGCCTACTGATGGACTGTCCCAGCCAGGCGGGGTTCTGGCATGTTGCCGGTGGGTCGCCCCTTGCTCGTTGGGAACGTATCGTGGATCCATATCGTCAGGGTCGGACCAACACGATAAAGGTCCCTCACGAACAGGGTCCCGCATACACGGGAGGGCCCCGGACAAGGGCCACACGTAATCGCGTTCCAGCGCCGTGCACCTATTTGTAAACGTTTCTACCAGACATATGGATGATTTGCGAGCTATCATCAGATTCGTTCCCCAAACCAGAGCTTGCGCTTAGGGGTCCACTTGTGTTGCTTGAATATCTGGACGGGTCCGCCGACAATTTTCCACATGGCGGCCCCGTGCCGCCTCGTGCTCATTCGTAGGCGCTCCGTGTGTTGGGTGGGTCCGCCAAGGTTGCGCCACGTTGCCGCCCGTGTTGCTTCGGGGGGGCTCGTGCGCGTCCCATGCGCTGGGTGGGTCCGCCGAGGTTGCGCCACGTGCCCATGCCGCTTCGTGGCGCTCGTGGGGGCACCGTGCACCGGGTGGGTCCGCCGAAGGGCGCGCCACATTGCCGCCAGTGCTGCCTCGTGGCCGCTCGTGGGCGCCCCGTGCGCTGAGCTTACAATCAACAAATCCCACATAGAGCTCACGACCTAGCTTGCACCACATAGCTTGCACCGCGTAGCATGCACTTCGTGTATTACAATAAACAGCTCACTCCGCATCTCCCCCCTCAAACCACATATACTACTCCACGTGGCTTGCACCACCTGCATTGGCCTGTCAATTCTCCTCTCAAAAAAAAACAT